GATAGTATTCTCCACCTCCTCAGTGAGAATCATATCTACACTGATATTCCAAGTATCTGACTACATTGGTATTTTTGTGATATTTTATCCTTCATTCTTATTGCTTTGCTCTAATGAAATAAAGATTTACCTCCATAGGACAATACGTTAAGTGAGTGGAAAAGATAGTTGAGGAGCTCTCACATGTAGCTAGCTGCCAGGGAACATCCTTTGGGAGATAGTGGATTAGTGGAAATAATAGAAGAAAGATGGAGATACAAAGAACTTAGAGTTTATTGGGCCACAGTGTAAAAATATTTAAAGGGAAAGTGAGAAGAACTGAACATAATTGTCTTTTTTTTTTTTTTTTTTTTCTTTTAGAGCCTTATTTAACAAGACACAAGTCAAGTTTCTCTAGGGGTATGTGCTGCTTTTCACTAGAAGCTTCTGCCTTTATCCTCTTGCCCTGCCATGTATGTCCAGCCTCACCTACCCTAGATATGAGAGTTGGACTCATCACGTGAATCATATATGGCTGTCTGAAACTATCTCATTAAAGACATAGCGAGTACCATAAGGTTCAATACTTTTATCTTTAAAAATCCAGAGCCCACGGTGAGATAGCTCGGTGGGCTAAGCACCTGCTTAGGCAAGCACAGGGACTGGGGTTTGATCTCTGGTACCACGTGTCATGCTGGCCCTGTCCCCAGGTGCACTGCGGCTGCCACCAGACTGGGCATGGCGTATGCCTGTAATCTCAGCACTGGAGAGGCTGAAAACAGGAGGATCACTATGAGTCCTAGCTGCATAGTGAAACCCTGTACCAAATACATTAAAAAAAAAAAAAAAAAAACAACTAAGTAGTTTTTTCTCTATTGATATATGAATGGTTACAAATAAAGTTTAGTAATTGCAAATATAGAAGATAAGAGAGAAAGAACATAGTTTCCATCATTTGTATTTGAAGTTATATTTAGGGTTTTGGCTAAAGGACTTTATAATTGAGGATATTAAGGATCTCTTTTAGGCCAGGCAATTAGATCTGAAATAAAGAGCAGAAGATAAAGCTGAAGGTCAAAGTTACGAGTTTTACAAAAGTCAGACTATAACAACACGTGGAGCAGCCACATCCTCCAGTAGACAAGGCCCCTAGAGTGGTGGCCGCAGAGCTCCCTTCCAGGTGTGACTTAACTGTCCTGGCCTGGCAGACGTCATCAGCAAGCAAGCCTGACTTATTGCCCTTCTTTTATAGGGCAGATTCCAAAGCTAGCCTGAGTCGTCCTCCTTATTCTAGCGTTGTCTCCAAAGCAGTCTGACTGCCCAAGAAGGAAAAAAAATAAAATGTGATTTTATGCTGAATTGTGTACATAGACTAAAGACGGGGTTAAGGTTATGGTGTGTTGGACCACTGAGAGAAAGCATACGTGCAGAGAATTTTTGCTGCACCTTGAAATTTATTTATTTATTCATTTATTTATTTTTGTATTTTTTTAGGGAAGGGTCTACTGTTCAGGGTCTCACTACTAGATCTGACTCATAGTGATTTTCCTGTTTACAGCCTCCCAAGAGCTGGGGTTACAGGTGCACACCACCATGCCCAATCTCAATGGCCATCTCAGCACACCCCAGGGGTGGGGCTGGCACAGCAGTATGCCTTGAAATTTAAAGGTTCAGTTGCCGGCACAGCATGCCTGGGATTGAACCCCAGTCCCTCTGTCTGCCTAAGCAGGCGCATTAATCCCCTGAGCTATCTGGCCAGCCCTTTGTGACACTTGTGAAGAAGGTAGTAGAATGTTTAGAGAACAGAGCCTAGTGGTAGGAAGTTGTATCCCAGGAGCCACACCCTGGAAGAAGATATTAGGCTCAGCTCCTCTGGCTGTTTCCCAGTTGCCTAGAGGCAAACCAATTCCCAGTTGCCTTTGCTCTGTCACACGCTCTCTACCATGGTGTTCTGCCTTGGCACAGCCCCAAAAGCAGTGGAGCAACTGACCATTGGCTAACAGCCTTCAAAACTGTGAGCTAAAATAAGTCTTTCTTTTCCTTTCAGTTTATTTTCTTCATTTTTTTTTTTAAACAGTAACAGAATGTTGAGTAGTACAGTCTCTCTCTGCAAAATGTCTGTTGGTGCCAAGCTGGGAATGCAGTAGGGCTAGGAATTTACTTTGACAGTTACATTTTCTGTAGATTGTGTGTTTCTACCAAGTACCGGTATGACTCTTGGAAAGCTGTGTAGCCCAAGGATAGCCAGTGGCAGACACTTCTGCCTGGACCTGTGGGTTTCTATCTGAAAATTGGAAGGACTAGAACAGCTGAGGTCCTTTCAGCTCTGAAACTTGAGACTTTGATAATTCTTCAGTAGTAAGAGATTTTTTGACACTAGACTGATTAGTTTCTATCTATCTGTATCTGTCTCCCCCTCCCTGTCTCTCTCAACTGTATCTGTCTATGAGCCACTGCTGTTTTCTCATACACAGTAGGTTAGAATAACACAGTGGGATTTCCTTCAGAAACTATATGGGATTCTCAGCCTGTATCCACAGTCTCCCATCATCATCTCCAATTCATTTAAAATCATCTATGTAGGTGCGTGGTACTAATCTTTAGAGAATATTCTATGGATTTTTAATCTATCTTCCTTTTTTTCTCTGTTTGACAAATGAGGCAGAGAACAGCATAAGAAATGTCTATTTAATCATTTTCTTAAATGAACAGAACTCTAAAATGAAGTTTTCTATAACAAAATATAATACAGTCATGGCAGTCCCAAGTGCCGGTGAGGCAATATGTGCATGAAAAGTGTGGGAAAGATGCGGGACACAGCACATTGTTTTTCATCAAAGCTTTGCTCCTCAAGGCTGTATGTCCAACGGTCATCCTCCCAACTTCTTTCAGAATTCTCTTTGTGGGCTGGGTGTATCTCAGTGTATAGAGCACTTGCCTAACATTCACAAAGCCCTGGGTTTGATACTCTGCACCATAAGGAAAAGCTCAGCAGGCTCAGTATGTCTCTAGGAAGGGACATGTTTGTGGCCTTAATTTACATTTTGCCCAAGCGGTGTTCTGAGATGTAAAATTCAAAGTGAGAGAGGTTGAGATGGGACTTAGCTTTCTTGTGGAACTTAGTTTGCAAGGTAGGATGAAGGGAAAGAACATGGAAGCTCAGTGAACTGAAGATAACATGAAGAACTCCCCACATCCTGTAGGCTCTGTTGAGTGAGAGACGTCATCCTGGTCTCCTCACATAGATCCAGCTCTCTGTGCTGAGGCATTAGGCAAAGAGAAGCCAGTGCCCACTTTTTAGGAAGCAAGATTTGTTTGCTCTCTTCCTTTCTACTCTGAGTCAGAGTTTCTTAACTTTGGCATGATTGACATTTGGGACTGCACAGCTCCTTGTTGTGGGCAATGCCTTATGCATTGTGGGGTGAAGAGCAGCATCCCTGAACTCTACCTTCTTGGAGCCACCAACACAAAAGTCCTCTGTTTCTTGTGGGTTTGACAACTACAACTGTCTTCAGATGTTGACAAGTCTCTCCTGGGAGACCAGAGGGGAGCTACAATCACCCCAGTTGACTGCTCCTCTAGGTCAGCGATGATGAACATGTAGGGTTTTCAGTGATACACACAGCCTGCTGCAGCATCCCAAAGGGTTCACCGCTGCTGCTCTAGACGCGGGTAAAAGCTGAGGTCGTTACTGTTCACAGGAAGAAAGTAGAACATAGTGAGGGGAGAGGTCCGGCCCTGTGTCACTCACAGAGCAACATAACTTGAGAAATAAGATGGCATTTCTTTGTTCCAAAAAAGTGCTCATCTGATTTAGAAAATCAGTGCCGCCCAACTACTTTGTTCAGTCTAAACTTATGATTGGATTCCTCATCTTTGGCATTTCTCAGATTGAAGAAGCCAAGGTCCGACTGAAAGCATAATGAGAAGTGAATCATTGGAACCTTCACTAAAAACGCAGCCACTGAGTTGTTAAGTGGCAGCTGACTTGCAGCTTCTTCTTTTCTTTTTCTTGAGACAGGGTCTTGCTGTGCAGTTCAGGCTGGCCTTGAACTCGCAACTCTCCTCCTGCCTCAGCCTCCCAAGTACTGGGATTACAGGTGTGCACCACCATGCCGAGCTGTGATCGGCAGCTTCTTAAAGCATACACTACAGAGTAATTTGCAGACTATAAGACAGGAGCGTGTGGTGATTGAAACTTTCCAAACACTTTCCAGAGCAGCATTATAACATGTATCACTAAGGATTCAGAGATACGATGTCCCATTCTCACTCCCCAGGAGTTGACGGATAAGGGGAGGCCCCTGAGAGATGGGAGTATACTTATCTTCACATGCAGTCTTAACACATTTCCCTTGTTCAGGTGAATGATTTTTTTCCCCAACCTTTAACATATGTCTTTGAAGTTAGATGTATTTGGTTCATGTTGCAGTCTTCTAGAGGTTGTTTTTATCTTCTTTTTCTTATTCTTGTTTGTTTACGCCAGACTTCTACATATGAATTCATTTCCCCCTAGAAATACAGGAGGAGGTCATATCTTGAAGTAAAACAGTTCTGAAGATTCCCAGCATTCTGAAAATAATAACAATAAGATACCACGACAGCCATTCAACAAATTTTTACTGAGAACTGAGAGTCTTCCTGTCACATTCTAAGACAAAATCTCTTGTTTAGAAATGGTCTTATTTTTTCTGTATTTTGATGTTGTTCTGTCTTGGTACTTGGTTCTGTGGGTGGATGTGAGAAAAGTGATGTTTTGCATCTCACCTTGATGGGGGATTGTCCCAGTGATGGTGCCTGGGAAGCAACAGCTCCTGAGAGCAAAGAGGGAAGGAGAGGTGAAATATGAGCGGGACCCTGGGTGGAGGTGGCAAGCTGGGCTCCACCTCCGCTCCCAAGCGGGGAGTGAGTAGGACCTCAAATGTCACGAACAGTAATAATGCGAGTCTCAAGTACTGATCTGTCTTTTTAGCTTGCAAATGTGTTTGATTTAAGGTTATTCCTCTGTGCTTTGGGGGAGAAAGAGTTAGAACTGAAGACTTTAACTGATACAGTAGTGCTCTGAGAGTCATTCTGGCTTCTGAGGCAGAAATTCTGTGATGAAATAGTGTTTCCATACTTTCACTCTGGTGCTGTTTCCTGTCACCTGAAACCCGGAGAGGAAAGAGTAGGTTCAGCTAGTGGCACTAGCATAGAACCCTAGAGTAGTGTGGGAGACTATCACCATTACATGTGTGTTAAGTTCTTCTTACTGCATGCTCTTTTCCCTGTTTTTGGTGGTACTGGGGATCGAACTTGGAACCTTGTGCTTGTTAGACAGGTGCTTAAGCTGCTGAGCTATCTCCCTGACCCATGTCATGTTGTTCTGTTTTAAAAAAATATTAAATTTATTGGCACGATTTAGATATACATGATGATTCCATTGATCATAGGGAATTCATATCTCTGCTTGGTGGATCCTGTTTCCTCTTTTTTTTTTCTTTCCAACCCTCTCTCATCCCGTCTGTGTCATGTTTTTTAGAAAGACTGCAAATAATTGTCACTGGACAATGCATGGTACAGATACAGAAGCTCTGCTTTATAGATCCTAAATCACCTACAATATTATAGAAAATCAAGGGAAGAAGAAAGTGCTCCATCTTCTACTAGTGAGATTCCCAAAGGACAGTTTCCTTAGGAACTTCTCCCTCTGCTGACAGCCTTGGGAGGTTACAAAGGGTGGATTTTCTCACAAATCATGCTTTGTGCACTATCCTATAGTAAGAGCTTGGAGAACAAGAGAAAGGATAAGAAGAAGCAGACCAACAGGTCTTAAACATCTAAGCAAGGAATATGTGTGCCTCACAGTATAAGATATAAAAGACACATATATGCCAAGGGAATATGGAATACAAAGAACATCAGGAAAGGGAACTCGCATTAGGAAGAATGTTCTTGAACTGGATAAAGGAAGGCATAGCTATGAAGTGCTGTAGAATGGAGCAGCTTTCTAAGAAGGGGCAGTGAGTGAGAGAACAAGGCCATAGAGCAGTGAGAGGAAGTTGGGAGAAGGGACAAACTCAGGAAGAGAAACTCTCTGAGGGCTATGACTGCCGCCTGAGGACTTCTGCTGATATAGTAGCGCTCAGAGTCATTCTGGGTTCTGAAGGAAGGAAATGCTGTGGTGAAATGGTGTTTCAGTACTTTGTTCAGGTACGTTACTACCTGTCACCTGAAAGTTGGGTAAAGAAGACTAAGTATCGTTTTAGAATCAGTCAGGGTGTGAGGTGGTCAAGGGAGGATTAGGGTCCATCTGAGAGACCACTCTGGAAAATGCTGTAGGGGATGGTAACACGTCGACCTGAAGGACAGAGAGCAGACAAAAATAGCTGCAGGACTGTGAGCCTGAAGGCTCGGTGGGGGTGTCACTGAGTAATGCGGAAGTGAGGCCGCCAACCTCATAAATTCAGTTTTATACATATTTCATATGCAGTAGAATATTGAGAAGGAAATGTCCTAACAATTAGAGCCAGAGAACTGAAGTACAAATGAGAAGTCTTGGCAGGAGGGATAGCCATGAGTCATTTGCCAGGTCTCCTGTCAACTGCTCAGAGGGGTAGGGCAAGGTCACTTACATAAGCGGTAATGAGCATGTCATTATGCCTTGTGAAGGACAGTGAAATCTAGGGTAATTAGTCAAAGCTAAACATCTCTTCAATAAGGTATATTTATCTTCACTAATAACTCAATAAATAAAAAAGTGCTTGAATTTATACTAATAATTGAACTGTATGGAGTTGGTATTGTGGCTTGTACCTAGACATGCCCCAAAGCCCACTGTGATCATAGATGGGGTGGCTGTATTGAGAGTGTGTGATGCTGGGATTGATTCATGGTGCAATTCTAGGGTCAAGGGCATAGGATGTGAGTGCTACCCACCTTAAGTATCCTGAATAAAAGAAACAGGGAAGAAAGATGCTGCTAAGGTCCCTTGTTGCTTTGCTACCTTTTGCCGAACATGAACTGTCCCTCCTCAGCTATGCCTGTCTGCCATGACACTGCCTTGGAGCCAGCTGATTATGGACTGAAACCTTTACAAACTGGGAGCTAATAAACCTTTTCCCCTTTAACTTTGGGTGTCCAGTATTTTTTTTCCCAGCAGTGAGAAAAGTAACTAAAGGGTTGATTCTTCTATAAATGTGTGTTTTCTGTTAAGATAACAATTACCTTGAGCAATACTCCTGGGAATTATGTCACTTCCCAGGCATCATTAAGTGTGTTTTTCTGTGGCTGACTCTTAAGGCCACCAGACTCCTTTTAGGAACACAAGCAAGCATAAAAGCAATCTCTCATACCATTTATGATTTAGCTCACCTGTTATGCCAGTAGCTTCACATGTTTTGGGATGGTCAGAGCACATTAGCTTAGCATCAGGCAAGGGAAGAGAGGCAGGAGTGCCCCGCTAATGACAAAGAAAGAAGAGACACACAAGGAAGCCTTTGAGTCCAGCAGTTCTAGATGACTTCGCCTTTTGATCTCAGAATCTGCAAAGAGAAAGGAAAACATTTTGGGTCCTGGAGAGGGAGCCACATGCCTCAGTCACATGACTTTTTTAATTTTTAAATTTTTATTTCATTTTTTTATTTTTGGTGATACCAGGGATTGAACTCAGAACTTGGCACTTACCAGGCAAGCACTTAAGCCACTGAGCTATATCCCCAGCCCCCACATGACTGGTTAACAAAGAAAAGTTGCTGAGAAACAGCAAGGTGCTCCTTACGCGAGCTGCTCTGCCTCACTTTATTCACTGTTCTGTAGCTGGCTTATAAGCAGAGCTTTCCCTTGCTTCGGAGGAAGCTCTATTCTGTGGCCCACTCCAGTGAGCGCTCAGCCCAAGGAAAAACTATACCAATAAAGAAACTGTGAGTGGGTCCCGTGTACAGGCTGAGCTAACCAGACAGCCATGGCCAGGCTGGGGACCGGGGCCATGGCCTTGTCAGGTTCAGCATCGTTACCTTTCCTCACACTTCTATAAAGAGATAGGGAATCATTGTTTTCATTTCGAGAAGGAGAAAGGTAGAACTGAAGAAATGAAATTACTGTATTCTGTTTTCTTACTAGACAGTCCAATCTCACTTGGCTTATCCCAGTTCTGTTGCTTACCAGCCATGAGACTTTAGGCAAGTTACTCTATGCACATTTGCTCCAGTTTCCTGCTTTACAAAATAGGGCTACCAGCTTGGTGTGTAGGGTTCTGATGAGGATGAACACGTGGGCATATAGAGAGTACTTATTTGCCAGGTGCATAGTAAGAACTCAATTAGTAGTAGCTATAAACACAACAGTAATAGTAACCACATGTCAGCCTAATAAGCATTATGTCTGTTTTCATCATTTACGAATCTGCCTTGTTAGCTTGAGCTCCATCCTGAGTTCTACATCTGTATTCACAATTGCTACTAAACATATTAGTTAAAAACCATTGTTGGGCTGGCCTGATAGCTCAGTGGACTAAAGCACCTGCTTCAGCAGAGCAGAGCAGCTGGGGTTCGATCCCCGATGTGCCGTGCCAGCCCCGCCCCTGGGGTGTACTGAGATGACAATTGAGACTGGGCATGGTGGTGCATGTCTATAATCCCAGCGCATGGGAGGCTGAAAACAGGAGAATCACTATGAGCCTGATCTATGTAGTGAGACCCTGTACACCCTGTATACTCTGTCCTAAATTCATAAAAACAAAAACAAAAAAAACCCCACATAATTGTTCAGGAGATATTTTTGAAGCATCTACCATTGGGATTTGAAGGGGGTCTAATAAGCAATAGCCTCCTCCCTGCTTCGCTCTGAGTCAGTTAAAGAGAAGGACAAGAAGAGTACGTAAGTGTGAAAGAACAAAATATCATTTTGTTCTTTGAGAGAACAGAAACAGACCAGGGCAGGCTTCTTCCTGCAAGGTCAGAGTCTACTCCTGAAAATCTGATGGCCTGGAGGAACAGAGGAAGTGGTGCACTTCCTGAGAGTTAGCTAATGAGGGAGGGGAAAGGCAGTTGAGCCTTGCATGTCCAGCCTCTCCTACTATGTGCACCAATCAGGTAAATTAATTCCTTCTCCTCTAAGGAAGAATGAAGAAGAGGGAGATCTCAAGGGTTACCTACAGAGGCATCCTTTCTCATCCAAGGAAATATGTGACACAAAGATTTAGCTTTTCCTCCAATCTGTCATGTACTATGTAATGTGTTAAAACCTGGACCCCTCTATCTGTGTACACCATGGGCATTTTTAAAAACATTTAATGACTTTATTGAAAATTGCACTGAATGCTAAATGTCCACTTTTACTATAAACAAATAGAGTAATGGTAGAAGCCTAGAAGAAAACACATGTACTTTTTTTTTTTTTTTTTTTTTTTTTTTTGGCAGAACCGGGGATTGAACTCAGGTCCTCGCGCTTGCCAGAGAAGTGCTTATTCCACTGAGCCATCTCCCCGGCCCCAACACATGTACTTTTGATAGCCTCTCTGGCTACTCTCCTCATTGAAAAAGGGTTTTAAATATAGGTACTTTTGTCAACTAAATTTTGCCTCCCAGAATTGAGAGTAAAAAGAGAATAAAATAGAAGAGACAGAATCCCAGTGCAAATTAAGTTCCTGCTTCCAGCTGTTGCTCCAGTCAATACTGCTCCTACTTTGGGTCCATAAACAACTCAGCACTTTTGGAATAAATGCTTCTTTCACCTTGGGTGGACTTAAGTTCCTTCTCTGTCACTGGCAACTAAGAGAGTCCTAAGCAAGGTAACCCGCAATTTGTTCCTTAATACTTTCTCATATACATACATGATTTTTTTCTTAGCTACTTAAAAATTGTAGTAAAAATAGAACATCACTTTTACCATCTTCACCATTTAAAAATATATAGTTCGGTAATATTGAATATATGCATTGTAAAGCAGATCTCCAGGCTTTTTCTTCTTGCAAATCTAACACTTTACGTTCATCAAGACGGATGTCCTTCCTTCCCACCTCATAAGTAGAATTGTACAACATAAGTCCTTTTGGACAGAATTATTTCACTTAGCATAATGTCTCAGAAGCTCATCCATGTCATAGCTTGGGATAGGAATTTTTCCCTTCTAAGAGTGAATTCAATTCTATCATATCATAGACCATATTTGGTTTATCCATTCACTCATGAATGGACATGTTGGGTTGCTTCTACCTTTTGGTTGTTTGAGTAGTGTTACTAAGAAGATGGATGTATTACTATCACTTTGAGACCCTTCTTGGATTCTTATATATTCTCTGAAGCAGGATGGCCTGCTCATGTAATAAGCTTTTAATTTTTTGAAGATCTTTCATTTAGCTTTCTATAGTGGTCACACTCTTTCACAATGCTATGAACAATGCATGAGAGTTCCAGTTTCTCTACATCCTCACCAATATTTGTTATTTTCCGGGGCTTAACAAAATTAGTAACCATCTTCATGGGTAGGAGGTGATACAGGATCATGGTTGTAGTTTGCATTTCTCTGCTGGTAAGCATCATTCTATGTGCTTTTGGGCCATTTGTGTATCATATTTGGAAACCTGCCTATTCAAGTTACACATTATTGTAGTTAGATTGTGCAAGGTATTTCCTGCTTAGCTCTAGCCTTGATATACAAAGCAATTCTCCTGATTAACTCTTTCTTTCTTTCTTTCTTTCTTTCTTTCTTTCTTTCTTTCTTTCTTTCTTTCTTTCTTTCTTTCTTTCTTTCACTTTTTGCAAAGCTTTATTCCAGATGGGCTCAGTCCTTCTTGGCAGCTGCCTTCCTCATGGCAGCCAGCAAGTTGCTGAGCTCCTCACACTTCCTCTTGGCATGAATGTGCATCCCCAACCTTTACTTGATGAACTTGAGGACGTGCTTGTTTTTGGAGACCTTGAGCAGCTCCATGGTACAGCGTTCTTCCTAGGGGGCGAAGCCGCACATGTCCTGCACAGACTTTGTGTGTTTGGTAAGGTGTCCATGATGGCGGCTGTGCCTTGGTTTGCTCGTATTCTTGTGACCCTTGTGGAGGCCCACGGCCATGGGGTAGCGGAGGTCCATGGCTACTGATCTTCAGTGGTTGCTGTGGCAGAAGCTATCCTGATTAACTCTTTCCTCTGCAGTTTGAATTCAGTTTAATTCCAGGTGGGATGATCTTAAAATTAATAATTTAGTCTGTTTATTTTCTTGATGCTGACTCAACCTTAGGTTTTGCATGGAGTAAAGTGCTGCAGAGTTGAATTAGCTCTCGGTGAGGGTGCTAGGAGGTCAGTTCAATCTAGGGCTTTCCTGTCAGTCCTGGGCACATGATTGATCAGATCATGTCAGTCTCACTAGGACTAAATAAGACTAAGTCCCAGTAAAAACCTTCAGTCTTCCAATTCAAAGCCTCCTCAGATTCAAAGACTAGTTATAACTAAGCAAGTCTTGGGGGACTTAGGATGCAGCATATTAGCTGAATATGTCAAAGATGTTAAAAAATCATAACATTCTCACTACTATACAAAATTGGTCTTACAGAGTTAGAAAGAGCCTCAGAGTCCTAAGCCCTGCTCTCCAGAAAACTTGTCCATGAGAAGGCATTCAAGGTGAGGCTCAGTTGCCTCTTTAACTGTATGCTGTGTTGTGCTGGGTTTTCTGTTATAGAATGCATCCCACCTGGAACCACGATCAATGTTGCAGTGAAGAGGACTGTAGAGATTTTTGTGCCTTAGTATGTAATGTATATGTTAAATAACTTATATTTAGTTCAGATACTATTTTCTCTCCAGTAAAACCACACTAAAAAGCATGGAGAGGGATGAGGGTCCAGCTGAATTGCAGAATACTTGTCTAGCATATACTTAAAGCCCTAAGTTTGATACTCAGCATCCCTGGGGAGGGGTTTTGGAGGGACAGCACTGAGAAACCCACCTGTCACTTTAATGTCCCCTGTGGCTTTGGCAAGGTGGTTTTCAATCATGCAGGAGTAGGTGTTGTTGACTGTGACATTGTAGAGCACGGACACGACCTTCACAGTCACGTTCTCAGAGTTCAGCTCAAAGCTGGTGTTGCAGGCTTGTGAAAAGGTAGCTCCCTGGTCAACTTGGGATGACCAAGCCACTGTGGGCTGTGGGAACCATCTAGGAGCTTCACAGCGCAGGCGCTCTGAACTGGCATTGCTGTCAACGTTCACCACTGGCATGCTGAATGCTGCAGCATCAAAAAAGGTCAAAGAGGACAAATGTGAGGGTCAGACAGGAAGGACAAGATAACCTTGAAGTATGAGGTTTTAAAAGACACAAACAGGCATTTCTATCACTGAAGTGACTGCTTCTCCAAGGTGTTGTCTGTGCGCGGCCCATTGCATTGTAGGTGCAATTTGCTCATAGTCTTGCTATACAGCCAACCCTTTAGCCACTATCACAAAGCCCGAGCACCTTTGTTCTAGGTACATTATTGTTCAGCAGATAATTTGCTCTAAGTAAGACACGCTCCATTGATTATAAAACACTCATTCCTTAGAAAAATTGGCATTTTCCTAGGACCTTGTAAAGTTTTATGGGCTTTGTATAATTTTTGTCTTGAGGATAAACTTAGGGTAAGGGGGAAGAGGAACAAGGAAGGAACAAGCATCATTCACCTGTTACCCACAGAAATCCCATACACAGGCCTTGTTACCAAGGGGATCCGGAGTGTGCTTAGGTAAACTTTGCATAGGCCTTGTGCCCCAAAATGGAAATAGGCCTTTGCAGGGCCATCCTGATAGCTCAGTGGATTAAAGCACCTGCTTAGGCAGAGCACAGCAGCTGGGGTTCGATTCCTAGTGTGTGGTGTGGGCCCTGGCCCCAGGGCACACCGATACGACAGTTAAGACTGGGCATGGTGCTCCGGGCCTGTAATCCCAGCACTTGGGAGGCTGAAAACAGGAGAATCACTATAAGTCAGACCTATGTAATGAGATCCTGAACATCCTGTAGACCCTGCCCTAAATACAGAAAAAAAAAAAAAAACAATAAAAAGAAATAGGTCTTTGTTGTCTTCTACAATAATTCTCACTGAGAAGGAAATTTAGAAATTAAGTCTTGTTTCCCCCTATGTCTAGGCAGAGATGTTTGTGGAAAAGTATTAGGGCCAGGTCTTTCATAATGCCAGGATTCCAATATGCATTTAATGTATTTAGGATTCAACTAGCCCTGAGCATGAAAGGAAAGACTTTACCTTGACTTTAATACTCTATTAACTAGCAGGGGAGACAAGACTCACACGCTGAGAGCAGGTAGGGAGCAAGCTCTCGGGAGATGATCTGTGGAACTAAATGAATGCGACAGTGAGCCACCATTTACTGAGAATGAACTTAGTGGGGGTACTATATTTCATCCTTCTTTCATTTGATCCCCACAATAATCCTGTGGCTACCTACTAGCCCTATATAGAAGCAAACTTTTGAAATAATTTTAGGCTTACAGAAAATATACAAAGATGGTTATGAGTGTGTTTCTGTATATTAACTACCTAGTTCCTTCTAATGTTATCTTAGCCACTGTACACTTATAAAAGTGGAGAAACTGTCACTTGTTTGTGACAGTTTATTAATTATTAACTCAATTCTGGATTTGATTATATTTTACCACTAATATCTGTTTCAGGATCCTATGGTTTTTTTTTTTTTTTTTTTTTTTTTTGGTGGAACCGGGGCTTGAACTCAGGCCTTTGCTCTTGCCAGGGAAGTGCTTATTCCACTGAGCCATCTCCCTGGCCCCAGTTCCATGGTCTTAGTCATTATGTCTCCTTAGAGTCTTCTGGCTTGTGACATTTTTTCAATCTTTCTGTGTTTTTGTGGCCTTGATGGTTTTGGTAGTACTGAAGGTATTTTGTAAGCTATTTTTCTATTGGAATTCGATAACTCTGTAATGATGGGACTGAACTTTTGGAGATGAAGACAGTAGGAGGTAAACTTTCTTTCTCATCAGACCACGGTAGAAGATCCATGCCATGCGCATGACCGATTCCTGGTGCTGTGAACCTTGGGCACCTGATGGGGGCATTTGCCAGATTCTTTGGAAGCTGCACTCCCCTATCCCAAAGTATGCTGAGTAGGGTGGGAAGGGTATCAAGCTCAATTGCTTAGAGAGGGAGTTACATAAATTATTTGAAATTTACCTGCAAGGAAGAATCATTTCTTCCTTCTCATTGATTTATATGAATATAGACTCATGTATTTATTATATACTTTGAGTTGTAATTCAATATTTTATTGCTTAAATTGTCCTAGGTTTGCACTGGTAGCTCTCATCTTCATCTTAAGATATAGGAATTGAGGTTTAGGCCAGTCAGATATCTCAGCAGATTAAAGCATCTGCTTAGGTAGATGCAGGGACTGGGGTTCGATCCCTGGCATGCCTTGCCAGCCCTGATGCCAGGGCACGCTGCAATGGCTACTGAGACTGGGCGTGGTGGCACGCATCTGTAATCCCAGCGTTTGGGAGACTGAAAACAGGAGGATCACTACAAGTCTGATCTGTGTAGAGCGACCCTATACTAAATACAAAAAATAAATAAATAAATAAAAATAAATAAAATAAAATGAATAAATAACATTTAAAAAAAAGAAATTGAGGTTCAGAGAGGCTGTTTTGCCTCACGCACCGTGCTTGTCGTGGTCTGACTATAGAGCTATGCTTTGAGTCATTACAGGCACACGATGGGAACTGCTTTTAGAAGGCCCATATAGTTTTGTTCAGGCTTGGCCAGCTCAGGATGTTTTCTGCCTATTCGTCAGGGCTCCTCTCCAGTGCCAACTTATCCCGGGAGGGTTTCTTCTCGCTTATCTCACGTGCATTTAGGTGCAATGTCTCTCTTCCTCAGAATCCAAGTCCTTTTATTTATATTTCCATTAAAGCACTTGATATACTTCATCAACTGCTATCCCTGCCACAATTTTCAGCTCAGATCTATACTAAGAACTCTGCAAAAACAAAAAACCAAAAAAAACCCCTTTGTTCTCTTATCTTTTTATGTCCCTCAGTGTCTCAATCTTACATAAATTCCCAACACATAAATTCAGAAAGCAAATTAAGCCAGCAAGGAAGCGTAGATTTCAATGGGAGGGCACTGCTGCGTTCATGGACAACACTGGGTTGGTTCCCTTGAACTTCTTAAAACGGGTTCCACCATTGTGAATTTTCACGGCACTTGTTTGAAACGTGGGCTCAGACCTAACCAGCACGGAAATAACCAAAGCCAATCAGCTTCAGTTAAGCAACAGCAAGGGCTACCATGATGAGACTACATTTATTTGGTAAAATACTTTAGGGAGCACATTTGAAAGTTTAGAAGTGGCGAGAACCCATAATAAATAATTTTATTAATAATAAAATAGTATAGTAGACTACTTTGGAGGTTGGTGTGGATCTTAAGCATAGCAGCAAGGATGGTTACTAACAGAATTGGGAGGGTTTTTCTTTGACCTTTCTTGGACCTTAGTCATAGGTGAGCACATATTTCATCAGCAAGTCATTTGTGTTAGCCTTAAGTGTCATCTGGTACTTTCATTCCCTCCCTTCAGAAGCAGCTCACCTCCAGTTCTGTACTCCAGGTTAGCATTGCCTTTCCCTTTAGAAGTGGTGATGTAACACCGGTAGGTGCCAGCATCTGTGAGTTGCACGTTTTTCAGTTTCAGAGAAGCGTTGCCAACTACCACCTGATCAGCAAACACCGCTGTGCGGCCTCTGAACATCTCATGCTGGTCTGACAGGTCATCTTTGCCTTTTTTGAACTCGTGGACCAAACCCGTCACGCCTTCCTTCAGCCACTGTATCACGATGTCGTTAAGTTTGATATCAGGTTCAAAAGTGCAGCTCAGGATTCCGTCCTCTCCGATGTTCCCAGCCGAGGTAAAAGTAGTGACTGTGATGGAATGTTTCCCTGCAATTCAGGAAGCAAGGATCAATGCCAGGGAAGGCTTGGGGCTTGCAACGACTAAGCTTTCTTATTAAAAGCCAGGCAAATTTCCATTATGCATTTAAAATGCAGAACAAGAAAAACATCTAAAAAAGGAAGTTGGGAATAGGAAGAATAGGAAAACACCTGTCTGTCTGTCTATCACTTATATTTCTACAAAATCAGATTTGTCTTACACAATAGCTTTTGTAAGAACAATAAGCCCAAACCTTGAGAAGCAGTAAGAGAAAGCACAGTGGACATGGATATGAGGGGGAGAATTCCAGCTGTGGCTTTGTTACTCCATGCTGTGTGACTGTAAGTCATGGAACTACTCTGAATCTCAGAAAGGGAGCGGTAGCATCACCTCCCTTATCTCGCTTACGGGGTTCTTGTGAGGAACAAATCACACGGATGTGAGCTGGATCTGCAGACTGCAACTGCATATTGTTATTTTACTCATTCTGTGGCTCAAAGCAAAACACTGTGTTAATGGAATTTGGTTTGTAATTTGAGTGAACACTTAATTTTAAGGTGCTGATACTTTACTATTTCTCTGAATGATGAAGAAGCTAAGGTGCAGAGAAGATAAGGACTTGGTTAAAGTTATAGTGCTAGCTGTAGTGTAAGGAAGAAGGTACTTAATTCAATTGGCTTTTGGCTCATGATAAAAAATCACCTCATCCTCTCTGAATATGTTACCAGTACAAGGATTAACCATAGTCCCACTGCCTCTTACCCTGCTGCTCAGCCTGTGTGCTGCCGCAGCAGAGAAGGGTCAATGAGCTGTTCTTTGTGTAGTGAAGGCTGTTGAATGAGGACACATTCGGGGGTGATTTGATTAGCTGGATTTGTTTTTTAATAGACATGAAAAAGATTTGTTAGAGATAGATGCAGGACATACTCAAGAGCAGCGCATGGGTGCTCAGGTGCTCAGAGAAATAAGGCAACTTTACTGAATTTTCTTGAAAGGCTCCTGTGCTCAGTTGTGATGGTAAGGAGAGGATGACCTTGGAGCCCAAGAGAACAGGGCAGACACAAACAAGCATGATAAAGAGGCTGTGGAGAGAAAAATAGAGAAAGGCCTCCATCCTGAGGGCTGTCTTGGCTCCGAAGGTGTTCAGGTCCAGTTCATGTTTCAATCTCTGCCTATCCTTTAAACAAGCACCTCACAGTATGAAGAGTAGATGGGGGTAAGCAATGAGAGATAGAACCAGAGGATCTAAGCTAGTCAGAGCTGCATAGGACAGAGCAGAGGCCTACTGCTAGAAAAAAGTTTTAAGTAGAAACAAATGCCAGAGGAAACAACCTGGTACTGAGGTGGGTTTTTGAGGATGTACGGGGCCTTGAGAGTGGGAGAAAAGAGATGTTGGAAGCAGCTACTGTGCCTGACCATTCATGTGGGAGATCTGGCGGATAAATTATGAAAGAGGACAAGATAAAATTTTTACTGTGTAATATGAATATTATACACCTCATCTCTTGCCTTGAGATTTCCTTGGACACTACTAGAATGATTAAGTTTGCTTGTCTTTTTTTTTTTTTTGTACTTATCAGGCTTGCATCTGAGGTGTGCTGGACAAGCACGGGTTCCCTCCCAGGGTGCACCTTCGCAGCCTGCTTATCGTGCAGCCCATGGGTCCAAGTCCCACTCCTCTTTTGTCACCAGTCATCCTTGTCCTGCCAACTCATAAATCTGCTCACGTGGCAGCCCTTCCACAACTCTCCTAGTCTGTGCACACAAAATTTGTAGATGTTCTTCATACTCTCCTTTAGCACTTTCTTTCGCCTTTATTACAGCAGCTATCTTCATCCACCTTGTTTCTAGCCGATCTCTTACACTGATTTGTGAGCTCTTCTTAGGGCAGAAACTATATCAATCATATCTATGGGTCCTCTAGTGCCTAGTGCTATGTTTCTGCAGAGAAAAATACTTTCTGAGGGCATGAATAAATGAATGAATAAATGGGAATATGTAAAACTCAAAGCATTGTTTGAAATAATTTATCTACTGCAAGAGTAGGGAACATTTGGCAGCATGATTACATTTAAATTTTGGGGAAATGTGAGCAAATGGGAAAAATGCAATAAAAATATACTGTGATTCCCAAGTTCATGGGACAAGTGTAGCTACATTAGAACAAGGGTATATTTGATTGTGGCTGTAAAGTGCTATTGAAGTGGAATTGAAAAATTACTTTTCAGAGAAAAGACATGATTGTCCAGTTTATGGAGAAAGTTAAATGATAATGACATATCTTCATTTTGTAATTGTGTTACTGAATTAATTTTAATGTGCTGGCCTTGAGCCCACTGGTAAGGAATCCACAGAAAAATCTTCTAGAGAACTTAATTAAGAGTAGGCAGCTGTGAAGCGCCCGAGGGACCCACTGAAGGTTCTAGTCGTTTAAGGCTGCATTAAGATATGGCAGATGGAATGAGTAAAATGTCAATTAAATCTCTCCTCCATATCAAATAAAAATGAAGGATAAAAGCCAGTGAGAACTCAAAAAAGGGATGTGAACCTGGCGGTGGCTTTGCACCCCCAAAAGAGTCAATAAATACTTTCTTGTTAAGTGAATGATTATTAAAAGTGGTAAAATTATACTTAAAGTGCTATTTACAATAGTGTGTAAATATTTTCATGAGGAGTCTTTTTTTTTTTTTTTTTTGGTGGAACTGGGGATTAAACTCAGGCCCTTGCACTGGCTGGGCAAATGCTTATTCTACTGAGCCATCTCCCTAGCTCCATGAGAAGGAGTCTTAAGTCAGATGTTCCTATAATTCCAGCTACTTAGGAGGCTGAGGAAAGAGGGTCACAACTCTGAGGTCAGACTGAGCATCTTAGCAAGACTGTCTCAAAATAAAAAATACAAAGATTTCAAATGTACCCCAGTTCCCTTGGCTCAATAGCTAGTAAGAAAGAAAGAAAGACCAAACAAGTTTGAATTTAAATTTGTGATCAGGTACACTATTGGCATAAGGAGCATTACGTAGACTGGTCTGAGGAATTTCCAGGTCCACTGACACCAGAGGCTCTTGTGCAATTTGGCGACTGAAGGGGTGCTATGGAGTTGGCTTAGGGGACACGATCTGTTGATATAAAATTCTATTAAACAGGCACAAACTTAAAGCATTTCATTAGCCTCTAAGATTGCATTAAGCCCCTTTAAAATTGGAAAACCTAGTTACTGAAAATGAATTATACCATGTGTGCAAGGTGATTACTGCAACAGTTCTGGTCTGAGTGAAGGAAGGAGGGGCATCCAAGGGTGAGCTGATACCTGAGCATTTTGGTCTTCATACAAGTTTAAGCATTGTATGAAAACAAGAGGAGTCTTCAACAGACTTCAACAGTCACTGAGAACCTGCTGAAACCTGGCTGTCTGGATAGGCATGACCGGAAACACAAGGCTGGAAAGTGGAAGGGCACCTGTGAGCAGCATTCTTGCCAGAGAAGAAGGCAGGGCTCCGGAGAATAGTTGCTTATGTGAGAAGAAATTAAGAAGGGAGATGCGGCAACTCCAAGAGCAGCAGAGTGTGGAGTCTGGGAGCATGCCATGGGCATCAGGCTGACTGGGCTGAAAGCCCTGCTTTGCCACTTATTGGATATGTGACCCGAGACAGTTCTCTAAAGCTGTTTATTTTCACCTATACAATGAAGTCACTCCCTCACAGGGTTTCTGAAAGGACTCAATGATACAATGCCAACATTGTGCTGATCCGTATTGGTTGATTCACTATGTTAAAACTGAAATTATTGATATCAACCACCATTATTAACTATGGTCATTTGGAAAAATAGCAGATCAGAGCCCTGGGAAGCAAGGAAAGGAGGCTTGTCGTAAGTGCTTCATGTACAGTGGTTTATTTTCAATCAGAAGCAGTACTAACAATGACCATTGTAGCTTCTTATTGAATAAGGATAAAAAAAAGCTCAGTATGCGTGGCTTGACTAAGACTAAGATCAAACCCAACCTCATCTGGCACTAAGCCTACACCAGTAAGGAAAGTTAGCTTCCAAAGGACATGAAGCTGTCATTCCTGAGACTGGCATATCTCTAATTCTTAAACTCTGTCTCTTCAATGCTCAGTCTCTGCATGTCGATAGCAGTGATTGGGCTAATTATGGCCAGGGGCCTTTCTGTTTTTTGGTATCTCCCGCCTTCCTGAAGAGTTGTGCATAAAGGCTGTTCTTTAACCAGAGGCTCATGGGAGCCGCACAACCTCTTTTAACAGCAATGCACCTCAGAATCATTCAATACTTTATGGGGCTCATATTTATAAGGAGTAGGATGGCAATGAGAAGACAGCAATTGGATTGCAAAGGCGTCTTTTTTTTTTTTTTTTTCCTGTATTTGTGAATATTTTCAAGTCTTCCAAATAAATGCCTCAAGGTGAGCCAAGAATAATGCCTGGAAGGGAAGCAGTCTCCTCACAGCCTCTTGTCTGCCGCAGTCTATGTGAACATTATCATGTGCATAGGGTGGTAGGTAGGAGTATGCCTGTGTGAACATTACCATGGCGTGGTAGGTAGGAGTGTGTGCTGTGGAAACAAATCACCAGCACTTGAAACATAGTCGTGCCCACTTGCTGGCTGCGTGTGACTCTATAGGAGGTTATTTTGGGGGCATGGTGATGGTGTCTACCTCCTATCTGTTGTGAATAGTAAACCCAATAATATATGCAGTTACTTAACAAGGTGAGATCCATGGAGGAAGCACTCAAAGATATTATTATTATCATCATCATCTACTTGATGCTGTTTGCTTAATTTCAGTGTCCACTTTGTTGTATATTAAACCAGCTGATACTTCAGTGAATTCATTCAAAGTATAATAATACGATGCTTGCTTATAAAGGTTATGGCCTTAATGTAGGCAACTGAGATAATCCAGCCAAATGGTAATAAATTCATAAAGAGCCCATTCTATCCCAACTAACCAGCTTTCACCCTATGAAATATGAAGGAGGCTGGAAAGCTCTTCTTCAGTAGTAATGGGATTTTAATATTGTTGTACATTCCCAGGATGAGTAGACTGTGACTTCTATCTATGGATTTATCCTGTATGCATTTATACATTTGCTTCTTCAAATAGCTTTTAATGAGTAGAGTTCGCTGCATTCAAAAAACCGAGCTCAGGACCTGAGGTTGGTATCTGTACTTGAGTGGGATGCAAGTGCTAGCTGTGTTTGAGCACAATATAAATATATGATAAGAAGAGGTGTAAGTAGCAGAAGTGTTGCCTGACTTAAGAATGTGGGTACAGTGTGAAGTCTTGGAATACTGAGAGCCATCAGCAATCAGAAGACAGACAACTCTATGAGAGCTTTGATACCAACCCAAGCGCGTTGGTCACCAAGGCAAAAATTAAAGCACAAACCCTACGGTTTTAATGCAAGGTGATGTGTAAGATCAGGTATAGGGGCAAAGATAATTAGGAAATAGTTAAGTCTTAGAAAGTTACTAAATTGCACCTTAGCACTTACACCTTTAAAAGGTACTCCAAAGTCTGGTTCAGTCAATGTTTTATTTCCTTATAAGGAAGATTCATAAATGTTTATATATATATATATATATTTTTTTTTACTACCCCCTCACTCTTTTCTGAAAATAAACGGGCATTATACTACTTTCTAACAGTAGAGATTTGTTTTTCTGTGTATGAACTTTATATTCATGCAGTCATACAGAACACAGTCTTTTGCACTGCCTGTCATTCAGCATTATGTTTCTCATATGGAAATATACTCCATCTCCTGAGCCACAGGAAACAGATGAAAGCCACAAGCTTCCTCAATATCTGGTACAGGAGAGGCCCTGAGCACTGGATCTCTTGCAGGCTTCCAGGGAAATCTAAATTGGTAAATGACTTTGGAAAATTGAACGGCTGTATTTACTATAAGCTGGTTATTGGCTTTCTGGGACACGTTTTCTATGAAATGCTTATTTAAATATGTTAGGAAAAATTTAAAATAACCAAATAAAACAGGGAGAAGAACATTAATGAAAATAAAGTCAAAATCAATAAAATAGGAAAACAAATTAGAGAAAGTATAAGAAAAACAAAAAGCCAATTCTCTGAAAAGTATAAAGCTAATGGTTTAACTTTATATTGTAACTTTATAAGCCTGTTTTAAAGAGATAGAAGAGGAGAAGAGGGGGTAGAATTAGGAATAGCAAAAATAAGAAAATAACATACAGAAAAAGAAAATGGATTATAAAGGAATACAGACTCTCCCTGACCTACGATGGTTGGTGATGATTTATGATGGTGTAAAAGCAATACTAGACTCTGACTTTGGCATTTTTATCTTTTCTCTCCACCAGTGATACACGTTGTGATACTCGGTCATGCTGATGGCGCACCGCCTGTGAGTGCCAAACCCCGTCAGCCAAAGGAGCGCAAGGGTACAGGGCTGCCACACTGCTCTCCACAGTGCTGCTGTAGACACTGTGTTGCCCAGTAGGTTAGGAATAATGTATACATTTTCAGCTTAACACTTTCAACGTACTGTGGGTTCACTGGGATGTAACCTCATTGTAAATGAAGGCGCATGCGTGCTAAGATGAATCTGATCTGTGGTCAGAAACGGATCTATGTGTGTATAGGTGTTTCAGGGAGGACAGCGGTGGCACATCTGAAAAGTGGGTGAAGGGCTCTAATGGGGGTGAGGCTACTGGGAAATCCCATAGAAGAACTGAACCTTGACTCCTATTTTACACCCTAAGATGAACTGCAGATGGTTCTATGAAAGGCAAAACTGCATAGCTGCTACAATTTAACTGGGAAGAAATACTCATGATTTTGAGATATGCATAAAAATTTTAAATAGAATAAAAATGAAAAATGTTCCATGCATAGAGGAAATTCTTAGATTAAGTGAAAATTAAGAACTTTTGTTAATTGAAAGATAAAATAAAGAAATTGAAAAGGTAAAATATAGGGGAAGAGATTTAGTAATACATCCAGACAATTTGCAGTGACTTATGAAGAATTCCTATAAATGCAAAGGAGTAAGTGATATCTTATAAAAAGGGACAAAAATGCATATTTTTGATGGTAAAAACAAGGCAGGCTGCTTGTGTCTTTTCTTGGCAAACTCATGCGACTAGTTTTAGTTTAGTTCTTGTGGCCACTGTTTATTGGCAGCACATCCACATGGAGGAGAGTGACAGAAAAGGCAGCTAGAATATAAAAATGAAAGGTATTTAGTGACATATTTAGACTAAGTTACAGTACGTGCGTTGGCTTAAGTCAGTTGGTTTACAGAAAGCAGAGCAAAGGGTTTGTCTCAGAGGAAACAGCTTCTGGCCTAACTCATAAGAGATGTTGCAGAGAAGCATCTTGCATGGAAGAGCAAAGCAAAGACATCCCGCAACTGACATCACAATGGCATCTGGCTCCTACTGAGCACAATAGTCGTGGCCAGTTTTGGCTTTACCTAAGATGCCTGTGTAAGAATAATTGATCATCTTGAAAACTTTGCTCCAGGTTCATTGAAAGGAAACCATTGATCCAGGTCAACCATTGATCGAACGGCAAAGCACAAGACTTTCCTGTGTCCCCAGACCAAGGTCCTCAGCACCCCTGGCAGGTAGACTATGGATAACTTTCTCACTTGGTTCTCTCAGCTGGCTATTGAGGGCCCATTATTTTCATACTATAAAAGTGAGGAAACGGAGGTGCAAGGAATTAAACGTCTAAGGTGGTGAGGACGTGAGGTGGTGGAAGAACCAGTGCTTCGCCCTCAAGTTTTCTGGCTCCACGCTCTCCATTCTTCCATGCTATCCCATTGAGTGATTTATTAGAAGTTTAATGGCCAGGGGCGAATGGACTGTGGCAGTGCAAGAAATCACATACCTGAAATACCAAAGCCAATGATGAGGGCAATTGCTCCAGCCAGAATAATGATGATGCTAATAATACTATGAAAAGAGGGACAGAGAAACAGAAAATTACTTCTTCGTTCCGTTTGACATGTTATCTGGTACACATCTGTCATACATAATATGGGCTACATAGTGTGTCTCAGCTTTTCTTCTACATAATCACCTTCCTAGAAATATGTACCTTAGGAAGAATCTCAGCAATTCTGTCCCTGTCCCCTGAGGCCGTGGGATGGGTGAAAGGACTGCCCCTTTTGTCTCTGTTATGTTACTTCCCCCCCACACCCAGAGACCATATAAAAAGACTGTCAGGTAGGAATGATGATCTCTCTGTAATGCCCAAGGCCTTTTGAGGGGAGCTGGCCCCAGTCTTAGCTTACGCTCAGCATCCCTGCTCACTCTTTTGTGTTGTTTGCCTATCTGGCTTCCTTCTTTCTGGAGCCTTTAAACTCCATTAAGGACAGTGGTCATCCATGCTGTCACATGGATGGTGACATCCTCTCCACTTCGTACCTGCTCAGACCCAGTCCTAGTCCACTGTACCACATAGGTCTTCAGTGGGAGTTTATATTCTCTTGTTAAACAGTAATGCATCTCTACTACAGAAAGTTTACAGAGTATTAATCAAAAGTAAGACAATAAAATAACCTGTAACTCCACCTTCCAGACACCACCTCTGTTAACTTTTGGCTGTCTACATTAAATCAATTGAAATTACAATTTTAATGAACTTTTAACAAAATGATACTTGGAGAATAAAATAAATAAGGAAAGAAGTATTGCCAGAATCTATTGCTCTAAACACCGTCTATGGCTTGTATCATTTATCCAGTCAGTAACCTTGAAGTAAACAAATTTATCATCTCCATTTGGTAAATGAAGAAGTGGCACTGGGAGATTAAGCACCGTCCCTAAAGTCACATAGCTTGCAAGTGGCAGAGCTAAGATTAAAATCTGTCTCCCAGATCTGTGGTCAGCTCCCTCCTGCACAGCTTCGCAATAGTGGAGGCCCACAGATAGGGGAGTCCCTTCTCTTTGCATAGAGGGCCTCAGGCCCCAGGGGCCTTAGCTTTAGCTGTCAGAGTGACTCAAGCAGGGCACCAGACGCAGGGCACAGAGGGCGTGCTGCCCGAGCGACTCCTGGGAGGTTGTCCCCTTCTGCCTGCCCTGTCATGTGCACTTCATGAGGTAGCTGTCCCCAGCCACCTTCTCACATTGCCGGGATTCACACACTCCCCACACCCACTCTGAGGTTGCTCAATAGGCAGGACAAAAGAAGGCACAGGGAGGCAAAGGATGATGCTATACAGAGAAAAAGAGAGCAGGGAACATTTTACTTGCTTCCCTTAAGAGTCCTCATTGTACTTAACTCCCTTTGGCAAGTAGGGGGGCTCACTAGAGAGGGACAACGGACTTACAAGAAACAACTTGAGGGCACTGCTCCCTGGAGGTCAAGCCTTTGTGAGTGCGGCCGTAGGGGCAGCAGTGCAGTTCTCAGTAATAGGGAACCTACTGGAAGCTTCCAGAGGGAGACCCATTCTGCTCTTTGTACCTCTGCAGCCTCTGTTCTTACTGGTGCAGGTGTGTGAGAACAGATAAATAGACAAACTCCTAGCAGGAGGCGACATGGGGCTGGCCTCGGTGGCTGAGCTAGACAGCAGCTTTGTATCTGTGACACAGGGCTTTCACCTCCTCTGGGTAAGTTACTTCATCTCTCTGAGACTTAGTTTCTTTATCTGTAAAATGGGGAAAGGAGTGATTCTTGCTTTTCCTACTATAAAATTGTTATGGTTACACGCAACCCCCATTCATAGGTCGGAGTCCTAAGCCCTAGTACCACAGAATGTGACTATTTACAAATAGGGTCACTGTGATTATAATTAGGTAAGGTGAAGCAGAACTGCTGTAGGGTAGGCTCCTAGCCCAGGGTGAATGGAATCCGTACAAAGGAAGGAAACGGAGCTGAGCGCGGCAGCATGCAGTGGCAAGCATGCCGCTGAGGGTGGAGGACCCCTCTTGCCCAACAGATTGAGGCCAGCCTGGGCCACACAGCAGATCCTATTTCACAAAAGTGCTAACGAACAATTGAAAATTAAAAAGGGGAAATTTAGACTCAGACACACTTGTGCACAAAGGGGAGAAGTGTCTGGGAAGAGGAAGGCAGAGGTCCCTAAGGCCAGGAATACTGAAGGTCTTCAGCAGAGCACCAGCAGCTGGACGAGAGGGACGGAGCAGCTCTCAGGAGTCAGCGCAGCAGACAACATGATCTTGGATTCCTGCCTCCGGAATCTGAGCAACACATTGCTGCTGCTTGACTCACCCAGTCTGTGGTACCGCACTGCAACTTCCCTAGCAAACCAATGCAGACAGCTCAGGTGGGGATGAAATGAACCAGTGAACGGTGGGTATTTTGAAAAGGGCAAATCTGCACATACTACTTTTTACTATGAATAATATTATCCATAGCAACTTACTGTGAGTTCATTACTACAATTTTTTAAAAAATTAAATTATTAAGAAAAGGGCTAAAAAAAAAAAAAAGGCTGGCAGCAGACACTGAACAGATACTGAGGCAGTCGCCAAGAATAGGGGGACAATGGGGCCTTCAGTCAAAGCAGTGGGCCCATCCCACGACTCCGGGCCCACATGTTTTTCTTGCTGTCGACACAGAACGCTACCGTTTGTCAGCGAGCCTTCTATCCCAGCAGTAAACACCTTGAGGTTTGTCCTAAACTTGTATTCCCTTGGGAAACTGCTCCAGCCCCAGAGCCTTGGAAAGAGAAGCAGAAACTAGCAGAGCCGTCAGATTAAGTAATTCTTGCCTGTGGCTTATTAATTTTTCAAAACTACGAATAAAATATTTCGCATAAGATGTTCTTACATGGCCCTGTGGTCCTACCTTCCCAGAATAGCTTCTAGTAACCATGCTGCAGGAAAATTTTAATGCTACAGCATGTCTTCTCAGCACCACTTGGAATGCGTAGGGCATTTTTGTGAGATAACTTTTCACAAAAAGCGCCCAAGTTAAAAAAAAAAAAAAATCAGTGCTTTTGGAGGAGCTTGTTCATTTTGGACACGTTTGTTAAGTCCTTGGTATGTGAAAGACATGGTTCTGGGCAATAGGGAGGAAATACAGGGGGAAAGTGATGAAGTCCCTGCCTTCAAGGAACTTTTGGTTAAGCTGAGGTAAAACACACACACACACACACACACACGCACGCACGCACACACACACACACACACACACTTCTAAATAAGGGGCAAAATATGATCAGTACTACAGTATACAGTATAGAGAGGAACAAATTCTCACAAGAATTCTAGGGAAGCAGGAATTTTTTGCAGCCTGGGGAAAACAGGGAATATCACAGTGCATTTCTATGAACAAATTTGTTTTTTAAAAATGTATTTAGCACAAGGTCTCACTATGTAGATCGGACTTGTAGTGATTCTCCTGTTTTCAGTCCCTCACGCGCTGGGATTACAGGCACGAGCCACTGTGCCCAGTCTCAATCGCAGTCTCAGTGTGCTCTTGGGGCGGGGCAGGCACAGTATGCCAGGGATCAGAACCTGGCCACTGTGCTCTGGCTAAGCAGGTGCTTTAATCCACTGAGATGTCTGTCCAGCTCTGTGAACAAATTTCAAAGAAAGTAAAGAGAAAGATTTTATTGGGGAAAACATGTAGTTAATCCATGTTATTATACCCTCTCTGTGAAGTAGGAGCCCAAAGAAACAGGGCCATTTCTACCTTATTGGCCAGGTTAAGCATCCTGATTTAGTAGCCTGAGGTAGGAACCACTTTCGAGCCTGCAGAACTCAAAGCCTGCTAGGCCAGCTTTGCGGCCTGGAATTTGACCGAACACCTCATGCTGCCCAACGACGACCTTGTCTGGTTCCTTCCCATGGCTTTGCTGCAGTGGCTTCTGCCTTCCGCACCACTTGGAGAGAACTAGGCCTCTGCTACAACATTGCATTACTTCCCGAAACGCTGCACAGTCCGCCAAATCACACAATAAAGTCGACAGAGCTTATGGGGAAAAAAGAGGGCTGAAGGCAACAGCTTCGTGATTAGCTTATCAGCAGAAACAGCAATTGGTAACTTAATAGAGGAGTTGGAAGCCAAGGCAAACAGCTCAGGAAGACCCAAATGTGCTGCAGGGAGTGTTAGAAGTGCACAAAAGTAACGCAGTAGACTCTGGGTTCTGTGAGCCAGTGGGTTTCTCTGAAGGAAAGCATAGGGCAAAGAGCAGCCGGGACTTGGGAGGCTAGAGTGCACGTCTTTGAGGAGAAGCCCAAGTGCGGGTGTCCGAACAAGAACTAAAGGCCACCTCAGCCTTTCCTACTAAAGTTGCCCTTCTCCTCTGCTATGTCGGCTCTCCTTGCCTTGGAAGAAATCCATGTGAAGAACACAACCTTCACAGTATGCTGTCCTTATTCCCCTGTCTTCCCATGACAAGTGAGTTCATTGGTGTTCTAAGCACACATTACAGCGGACAGACTATGGTACTGTTTTATTCATCAAGGAAATAGCTCGGTCAGAGATCCCTCTCTCTCGAGGGTAAACGATCACTGTATCGGGTCCATGAGGATTTTAGAATAGCCAGCTCTTACTGAGTATGTTCTTTCTATGTATCAATGTTCTATGTACAGTATCGTGTTCAAGTCTTACAATAACCCTACTGTACTATATGAGGACACTGAGACTTAGTTTAAATAACAGACAAAGCTCTCACAGATAACAGAGAGTTAGGTTTCAGGCTCGGAGAGACTGGTGTACAGGTTTGCATGCATAGCTATGCCTCGTAAGTCTAGAAAAAGTCCTTTTGGCAGGCAGCCACAAGTGTGGACGGCTCCTCTTACTTCCACCTCAATATACTATAAACCGTGTTTCCCTGACAATAATATCTTGCTAGAAAATAATTAGCCTCGAAGACTAGAGATCAACCCCCAGCCCCAGTCAGCCTGTCCCAGCCTTACAGGCAGAGTACCACCAAACAAGCGAATGGTAGCGGCAGGGGAGGCAACCCTATCATGGGGGT